AATTTCTGATTAATCACAAATCTTATTCAGATTTTTCCATCTCAAGAAATTAAAGTTCATTCATAGCAAATTTGTGTCTTGATTTTTTAGTTTTATGCCATAGAAAATGTTTAAAAACACTTTTGATCAAATTGTGAGGTTATGAATGCTGTTCTTCATCTAATTTTCACCTTTTTACCCCAGAAAATTACTGAATATGACAAAGAACGCAATGTTTCTACAAGGAAATGACGTAAAATTTGTCACTTTTGAGCAAAAACAGCGGAAAAAACTAAGAAAAAAGACAATTTTTGAGGTTATGATTGACTTTTAAGCTTTTTCTTACCTAATATGAAGTTATTTTAAACAGAAAAGCTCAACTTTACCAAGAAAAACAGAGAAAATCCTAGATTAAACACAATTTTCATGATTTAGAGGATTTTTTAATCCCAAAAATCTGTCTTAAATCAATCACATAACCCAGAAAAAGCAAGAAAATTGATTTTTCCAAACAGAATTATGTAGAAAATGTCTCAATTTGTTGAAATAAAAAGGTTTTACAGTGGAAATATTCCATTAATATACTTCCATGAAGTTGTACACCACTTCCAGTCATAATATCTGCCCCTTGGCCGGGGATGTTGGAATGCTCCACGCCAGGATGCCTTCAATTTTGAGGAGAGACAAATGCGGGGCGGGAATCTTGTGAGAAATACGAGATCTGTGATGCCCAAAAATTTCCATTCCAACAAATAATATAAACTGCTTCTTGTCGTGCACAGCAAATTTCAATCAATATATATGTTGTCAAGGGATTATTCCCGAGATTACCCTTAAACGCCAAATGCTTTGCTGTTGTTTGGAAATTTAAGGAGCATTCCTGGAAATAGAACACAAAGACAATTAACAATGCATGATTCAACAGTGGTGGAAATTACGGAAAAAATTGAGAATTCACAGTAAATGAATTTATTTTTATCGCTTTTTTATTTAATTAAAAGCTTGACTTAATTAAAAGTGGAAATTTGAAAATATTTATATATTTAGTTCTTCATTATTTTTCAATTTTACGTGGAAAATAATCATTTTTGGTTATTTTTATTCACATTTTAATTGTTTGAAAGTAAAAATCAATATTTATATATTTAATTGAGACCATTAAGATCCTTCAAACATTGGCTAATGATTTTTTTTCCTAGTATCAAATCGACGGGTGCCTCGAAAACTATCAAAAGTCAAAATTGCCATTTTTCAGCAGAACGATTTCAAGATTTTCGCTGCAAAATTTGCCAAATTTATCTCAAAAAAGCCTTCAAATCGTCCGTAAAAATGCAAATATTGCTCTGAATTTTTTATTTTTTGAATATTTCAGTTGATTTTATCGGTATTTATTGGAATTTTTGACTAAAATATGGCAAAATTAATGAAAAACCTGAAAATTTTGACTTTATAAGTTCTTAAAATCAACTTTTCATACTTCAATTCAAATTTTCTCTTAAAGTTTTCAAGTGAAAAAATTTAAAAGATATGAGAAATATTCATTTAAAGTCTTGAAAAACATTTTAGAATAATTCTGAACATTTCAAATTATTTTCTGACTGCGTTTCAGTGCAATTTTTGAGACATTTTTCTTGGCGTAAAATAATTAATATTCGACTCTTTTTTCCCATTTGTTCTTTCTTAGATAAATAAGATTTTTTGCTGTTGTCTCATAAGATAGAAATCTTAAAATTCTTGTACAGAAAGAACAAATGAAAAGCTATTGAAAAATTCATAAGATGAAAACTATGATAAATCGACTTTTCATAGTTTTCCATTCACCCGTCGTAGTTGAAATAATCAAATTCTGAATAAAATAATTTAAAAAAAAAGATTATTTTCCCACAAGTTTTCCCAAGTAGAATTGAAAAATAATCTAATTTTGAATAAAATAATCACAAAATTATTTTTTTTCCAAATAAAATTGAAAAATAATCAAATTTTGAATTGAAAAAAAAAGATTTTTCCTAAGTATAATTCCAAAAAAATCTAAATAATCTAATTCAGAATAAAATAATCTTTAAAAAATGACCCATTATTACAAGTAAAATAGAAAAATAATCAAATTTTGAATAAAAAATAATCTCAAAATTATCATTTTTTACGTAAAAATTGATAAATAATCAAATTTTGAATAAAATAATCACAAAATTTTTTTTTCCGAGTAAAATAGAAAAATAATCAAATTTTGAATAAAAAATAATCTTAAAATTATCATTTTTTACGTAAAAATTGATAAATAATCAAATTTTGATGTAAAAGAATGATTATTTTCCTAAGTAAAATTGCAAAACAAATTATTAAAAAAAAAATCAAATTCTGAATTAAGAATTCATGAAAAATTATTACTTTCCCAAGTAAAATTGAACAATAATTAAATTTTGAGCAAAGAATATTAAAAAATTATTTTATTTCCAAGTAAAATAGAAAAATAATCAAAGTAATCAAAATCTGTGTTATATATTTAAAAAAAAAAGATTATTTTCAATCAATTAATCAGAATATTTACAATTATATTCAATTATATTCAAATTTTGATTGAATATTCCGGAAAATAATTAAAAAGAAATCAGAATTTTGTATGAAATCATCAAAATTTGCATTAAAATCACAAATAAAATGGTCTCAAATCGCAATTGATTTCCCCCTTTGGACATAAACAGAGCCTAAAAAAAATTGGATGAAAAGAAATGAGGAAAAATAGCAGAGAAAATCCGATTACAGACAAGCCGGATAATGTGGCCATTGATTCCCGTGTCCGGGATTAGTTGTGCGCATTAAAATCGCTTTGGATAGCGATGAGATGTGTCCACAGTTAACCCATTCGTGTCACTCAAGCGTCCACGCTCAGGTGCGCTTCACGGCGGAAATTGAATGGCAAATATTTGCGGACAATTATTTGAAAAATTCCCTATTGATTCAGGACTCTTCACTGAGTGAAATTCACAAGGATTACAAGTTTCTCTCTCTCGCTTTTGGGTGGTTTGCGAAATTTGGCCAATTTAATCATATCGACGGGTGAATCGAAGACTATTGAAAGTCTGTTTGGATTGATCTTAATGTCTTTCATCGGCAAAAATTAAAGAAATACGATTTTTCTTAAAAACTCTCGCGTGTAGAAAATTTCTCAATGTTGCGTTGAAAAGTGTGAAAAGTCGACTTTTGATAGTTTACGCCCAAGGGGCTAATCACTAGGCAAATTGAGACCATTAACTTTGTGATTATTCCATCTTTTTCCTCGATTATTTCGTGATTTTTACTCAAATTTTGATTATTTTCTCAATATTTCATTAAAATTTGATTATTTTTTTGAATATTTCTCTATTATTTCCTGATTATTTCATTAAAAATTAATTATTTTATACAAATTTTGATTTTTTGTACATTTTTTTATTAATTAATTTCTAAATATTTCTTTAAAAAATTTAATTATTTTATACAATTTTTGATTATTTCGTACAAGATTCTGATTATTTTTTGATTTTTTTTATTATTTCCTGAATATTTGATTCAAAAATTTATTATTTCGTACAAGATTCTCACTAATCTTTTTTTATTATTATTTTCTGAATATAAATTTTTTCTGTAATCAAATTTTGAATATAATTGAATAATTGTGAATATTCTGATTAATTGATTATTATTGATTGAAAAAAAAATCTTTTTTTCATATTTTATTTAGAATTTGATTATTTTTCAATTTTGCTTTGGAAAATATGTATTTTTTTGATAATCTAATTCAAAATATGACTTTTTTTCTTAATATTCTTGAGAAAATATTCATTTTTTCTTACTTTTTTCATTCAATATTTGGTTTACTTTGGTTTTTTGTCATTTTATTTGGGAAAATAATTTTTTTTTTCAATTATTTTTCAATTTTATTTGATAAAAATATTCTTTTTTTGACTATTTTATTCAGTTTTTGATAATATTTTGATTTTTCTTTGTGATTTAACTGCGGAAAAATAATCTTTTTTTTTATTATGTATTCAAAATTAGATTTTTTTTGCTATTTTAATTCAGAAAGTAATTTTTTTTTATTTAAATCATAATTTGATTATTTTTTCAAATTTTCTTGGGAAAATAATGGACAGGAAAAATGTAAAAAGTTGATTTTTACGAATTGTTTGAAAAAAAAAGTAAACAAAAATGATCAAAAACCGACTTTTTGTAGCAAATTTTCCCAATTTGTCTATTAATTCTGCGTATTTTAGTTAATATTTCAAACAAATAACAGTGGAAAAACCTGGGAAATTCTGCATAAAAATAGAATTGAGCAATTTTATCAATTTACTGAAAGATAACAGAGAGTTTATGGAAAAATTAGTAAAATTTCCAAGCAAAATCATCTCTCAAACTTCAAATTGCTGACTTTTGATAGTCTTCACGGCACCCGTCGACTAAGAAATTCACTTTCCGATCTTTGAAATTTTTGCAGAATAATTTTATATTATTATTTCAAAGAGATAAGAAGATTCACGAAGAAAACCCGAACGAGTTTCCGTTATTTGAATAAACCGAGTTTTCTGCCGTTTTCTCGGGGAAATCGATTGTGAAGTCGGCGGCAGCCGCAATCGTGGAGGAGGAGAATAAATTTATTACTATTATATTTAGAAGCTTATTTTTGGCCGAAATAACTCAAAATGGGCGGAGAATTCGAGTGGGGGGGGCTTAAGATTGCTTCAAACTATATTTTCATCGCAACTTCAACCGAAAAATCTAAGATTTCATATGACTTTTGCATGAAATGAAGAATTAAGTGCCAAGAAGAGTGTTTCTTAATAACAATGCGAAACATTTTTAGCTTCTAAGTGTAAATTAGTTTGTAAAATCTTCCAAAAATTGCTTCAAACTGTATTTTAATCGAAACTCTAACCGTCCAAATCCAATTCAAGTTGTTTCCAAGTGGGCGTGGCTTAGAAATGGGCGGTTCCTGCGCTCTCAAAGACATAAAGTTTATTGTATCCTTTCTCTCTCCGCAGGGCTTTTGTGGACAATACCCATCTCCAGCACGTGTCACTGGATGGGAATCAGGCATTCTGTGATCTGCCGCCGCGCCTCTTCCACGGCAATCCCAACTTGGAGGATGTGTCGATGCGCGGCGGCGGCCTGAGGACACTGGATGCCGTGCAGTTTCCGCTGGATCGACTGCGGCGTCTGCAGCTGGCGGACAATCCGCTGGAGTGCAACTGCTCGCTGCTGTGGCTGTGGCGACTGGTGCACGAGGAGGAGCGCCTGGATGCGGAGGGCGGCGCCCCGAGTAGCCTCAGTCTGGACAGCGAGGCCATCGGCTGCGACGTGGTGGAGGACAACGTGCGCCTCCGTCGACGTCTGAAGGACATGTCCGAGGGTGAGATGGAGTGTCCGGCGCGCCTGGTCACCATCGTGTGCGCCGTGCTGTCGGTGCTGCTCGTGACAATGGCGGGCGTGAGTGTTGTGCTGTATCTGCAGTTTGCGCGACGCCGGAAGCGCATCATGGAGGAGCGCAAGAATGTGAATGAGCGCATTGTCCCGCAGCAGATTGACAAGATGGAGCTGGAGCGATATCTGCAGGCTCAGGCGCTGACCAGTGAGTATCGCACGCTGCGCCCCTGGGAGATTCCCATCAAGGAGGCCGAGCGCGAGGAGCCGGATCACTATGAGAAGTTCGACTACTTCGATCACCGTCGCATGCCGACGCCCAAGGGCACCCCCACGCCCCACGTCGTCTACGTATGACTCCCAGGAGTCCAGCAGCGTCACATCATTCACAGGTAAAAACTCCGGGGCGGCACTTCTTCGCGCGCACATCCCGCTCTCCACTGCGCCATGTTGCCGCGCGCGTGTACATAAAGTCTCTTTAGATGACTAGTTGAGATATAGATTAAGGTTAGCACTGTATTTGATAAGAGCCTACAACTCCAGTTTTCCCCTTCCTTTCTTCAAAATTCATTCAATGAATTTCAACTCACTTCGTGGACAAATTCCATCATTAATTGTCAATTTTGACATGACAAAATGTCTCCAAAATGACAAGAAGTACTTAAGAAGTGAAAGTGTTGAGAAAATCACAATCTTCCTTTCCCGAGCGTTTCTTTTACTGCCAAAATTATCCAAATCCTTTGGATTTCTTTTGATTTTTACGTAAAATCAATCGAAAATAATCCTTTTCTAGGTTATGTCACGAATTAAGGAGAGATTTAGTGAATAATTCGCATTCTAGAACATCAATTGCAACTTTGATGCCAAGAAACACTGCAAATTGTGTTAAAGTTGAACATAACCTCAAAAATAATTTTTTAGTCTTTGAAAATGTTTATTTAGACAACTTTCTTGCCAATTTTCATGCTGAATCAGCAATTTTAAGTTCGTTGGAACATCATAAGAGACACTTTTGTGATCTAGAAAGCTTTCGAGTGGAGTTTTTGAAGATCTTTTAGTGATATTTTGAGGTTATGATAAGAAAAGATGTCCAAAAACAGTGGTTTTAAGTCGATTTTTATGTTTAAGTCAAAGAAATTGCCACTCTAATGCCCAAGAAACACTGCAAATTGTGCTAAAATCCAACATAACCTCAAAAATAATAATTTGGACTTGGAAAATGATTATTTAGAAAACTCTCTGGACGATTTTGACTCTGAATCAGCAATTTTAAGTTCGTTTGTGATCTAGAAAGCTTCCACAACAGCAAAAAGCTTAAAGCATTGGAGGCCCTCCACATCTTCTCATCGAGACATAGAAATGTCAATAAGAAGAAAGATTGTTGTGGAGAAGAAAAGGAGTTTGAGCTAAAAAGGCCATTTCTGTGAGTTTCCACAAAAAGAAAGCTTCCAAACTGAGTATTAGATGATCTTTCAGTAATATTTTGAGGTTATGGTTGAAAAAGATCCCCAAAAAAGGGTTTTTAAGTGTTTTTTTAATAGAAATATTGAAAGGAAACTTAAGAGATTTGTTATAATTTGCAGATTTTCTGAGGAAACAGTCTAAAATTTTTGAGTCTTCTAAGTTTCAGGCATTTTTGGTAGTGTTTAGGAAGTGTGGTGTACAGATTCAGGGCATATTATCCTCCCCTTACATTTTCTGATCTTTTTTCACCACTTTATCAACCTCAAAAACATTCTAGAGAAAGTAATTTCTTCACAAAACACCCAGAGAACTGTCAAATCCCGCCCATCTTTAAGCTCCGCCCCTTTTTTGAATACCACGAAGTGTTGCTTTTCTTCCTCCCCCCCAAAAAATCAGTGTCTTTCGCATTTTCTTCCGGGAGAATATCTTCCATATGAATTAAAAAAAAGGTAAAAAAATAAGGTGCTTAAAAACTATTGGAAAAAGGAGTATTTCTTTCTTCTTTAAACATTTTGTCAAAGGCAATCCAAGAACATGTTGCAGTTGAGAGTGAAATGTGCGCGCGCGCGCCTCTTTGAGTGTCTCTCATAGGAAATCTATATATTCTATTGAATAATTTAGCTGAAGATGAAGAAGAAGAAGATGGCAAAAAAAAAATTGTGCAAAGACAAAGTGCAAATGTAAGTGAAGCAAAGAGAGCGAAATTAGCATGAGACATTTGAGAAAAAGCAATAAAAAGAAAGCACAAGAACAAGAAGGAGGAGTGTGTGAAGGGGGGATTTTGAGGGTAAATTGAGAAAATTATTGGATATAATATAGGGGTAAATGGGGCAGCTTCAGATTGGGGCAGCTTCAGATTTCTTAATTTTCTCAGAGATTTTTACATGAATAAATTCCTGGTCTTCACACAATGTTTGTAGTCCTTAAGGACTACAATTGACGAAAATTTGCACAGGATTGCCTTTACTGTTTAGATAAAATAAGTGAAAATTGAAAATCACTCACAAACTAGAATTTTGCTGCCGAATTGATTGCGTGTTTTCTCCATTAAAAAAGCCACAATTCGCGTGAAACACAATCAAAGGTTATTGAGAGTTAAGTAGAGATTCTAAATATGCCCGAACTTTTCCTCCTGATCACGGCCTTTTCAGTGGGTGGTGGAAAATGCACAAACACTGCACACGGGGCAGTTTCGGATCGCCACGGACTGACAACAGCGCGCTCTGACAGTCTGACGCAACATCACGGTCGAAATTTTCTTGTGGCAAATATTGAAGATTTTTCACAAAGTGCCGTTCTGTGCTGCATTGCTTCATCACGTTAAACGACTTCTTAGTTGAAAAGTGAGAAAATACACGCGAAAATCACTGATTAGAGCAGAAATTTCGAGAAGCACATTTTGCGCGGAACTTTCGCGGCGCGTCAAGTTGCCACCACTCACGCATGGTGGCGTTGCGACACAGGAAAAATGACGGGCAACTTGCTTTTCGCTCAGACATTTTGACAGTGCGTGCAAGGGTCCAGAAAAGTCGCGAAAATATTACTTTAAAGGCGATTTTTAGGGAATTAAACAGTTTCAGTGCGTAGAAGAGATATCAAAGTGATCATTTGCCCGCGATTCTACAATTCCACAATGGAATTTTAGGTAAATATAAGTGAAAATCTGAAGCTGCCCCAGAGCAATCCGAAACATCCCCGTGCGGGGCAGTTTCAGATAAATTACAATATTATTTTCATTCTCCTTTAGAGGAAAAAGGATCAGTTTTAATGCCCAATGAAAGGCATTTTCTGAAGCTCAATAGACGAGAGTTTATTTGAGCGTTGTGATCATTTCAATATATTCAGCCGATTTTTCAAGAAAAAATCCTAAAGTTGGAACAGCATTTTGAATCTGAAGCTGCCCCACTTACCCCTATTGACTATTTTCATATTCTATGAAAAGGGATATTTGTATAAAATATTTATAAAGAAAAACAATGTAATATTAATCATAAATTATGTGGAAGAATGAACAGCAATCACACACAATACACAGAGTGGAATTCTCTGATCCTTTCTCCACCCTTTCCAACCCCCTTCAACCCCTTTGAAACACTGACCAGAATCCGAGGCTTTGGGATTAGCGTCGAGGTGAAATACAGCGGAAAATAATTTCATTTTGACCAAAACCCAGGGACATTTATCGCACATTCGCGGATTTATCTGGGGGATTCTTGTGTACATTTTCATTTATTTTAATGCCCCATTTCTGTGGCTCACCGCCAATTTCATAATTGAGCGACGTGGAATTAATTTTTCAAGCCCAGCCAGAGAGAAGAAGAAAAAACACCAGCCCCAGCATAAATCACAGAGCAAAAAGGGCAAATAGGGGAGGGGAGGGGTCATTCGGACCACATGAATTCTAACCTGTGTTTTTTGGTCACCTCCTGAAGAGAGAGTCTGAAAGTGGGCGACGTGCGAAAAATTTGAATTTGAAGAGGAAAAATCAATAAAAAAAATAGATATAAATAAATAAAAAACTAGGTAAAGAGCAAAAGGCAAGGGGTAAACATGTGGCGCAATCACAGTTCACTGAGAACGCAATCTTCGCAATCCCAAACGCAATCCGCAATCCCAGGAGTAAAATCGCAATCTTTGCGCGCAATCACCGCAATTCTAAGCGCAATCTTAAGCGCAATCCGCAATCCCTAAGAGTATTTCGCGGAATTTGGGTAGTTTTTCTCGGAATTTGGTACGTATTCAGATTGATTTACAATTTTTCATGGCGTGGTGAGCAAAAATGTGGTTTGTTCTTTGTGATATCTTACTAGTAATTATCTGATCCAAGTAAGTCATTTTATTATCACTTTATACGGTCAATCTCGTAAAAAAATATGTTTAGAATATTCTCATTTAGTGAATTCACTAACAAAATATATTTTTTTGGTATAAACTTGGGTGTGAATTCCTTCATATTAGCACTTTTATATTGCTTCGAGTTGATTTTTCCAAGACTTTATTTCCAAATATTTGAGAATAGTTGCCTTAATACTTAGTGGGATAATCTTTATTCTTAATTACAGCCTTCAATCTCTTAGGGATGCTGTCAATGGGCCTCTGAATATACGATTTGTCAATTTTCTCCCACGCTGCTTTCACCTCTTCGATGAGATGTGGAATACTCGTGATTTTTTTCCCTCGAAGTTTTCCTTTCAAGATCATCAACAAATTCTCGATGGGATTTAGGTCTGGGGAGCAGGATGACCACGAAAAACAACCCCAGAACATTGCACAACCTCCGCCATTCTTCAGTGTTGTTACGATGTACTTGGGGCTGAGTTCTTGGCATTTGGGTCGCCAAACAAACCTTTTACCATCAGATCCATGACGGTTGATCTTCGTTTCATCAGAAAATAAGACGTTTCGCCATTTTTCTGATGGCCATGACGCGTATTTCTTGGCAAACGCAAGTCGCTTAAAACGGTTGGCTTTGGAAATCAGCGGCTTCTTCCTTGGCGCACTCTTGCGTTCAGGCCCAGATTCATGAAGTCTGTTCCTCACAGTGTTTACGGTGACTGAAGACAGCTTAGGGAATAGTTCTTGATGAATCTCACGTGCGGACATTAATGGATTAGCCTTACACATTCGAACAATTCGTCGATCCATTGCCGAAGAAGTTTTCCACGATCTTGTGAATGAGAGAGCCTTCTGCTTATCTCATGAAGTGGATTGTCCTTCCTTGTGCAGCCGAACAATCTCCGTACGCTCCTCCGGAGTTGTGTGCCGTCCTCGTTCCATAACTTGGTTCTTTGCCTAACAAAATTTCGCATCCAACACTTACGAAGTCCAGATAGAAAAGTAAATTCTGACCGGACACATGTCCTGAAGACACCTCTGATTCATTAAAACCTTATTAAGAACCCAAAACATATTTATATGGACAAGATTC